GGATATCCCTATGGGCAGTGCGAGGGCTGGACGGTGGACCTAGTCATCTGGATGAAAGGGTTTTTTTTTTTTTAACTTGTCTTTTTAAAGAAAGATTTTTTTTCTGAATGCAACAGAAGCCAACCAGGTGTGGCAGTCCGTTTGACACCGCGGATGGGTATCAGTAGGGTCTTTGGCCAACATGGGCGTGGATGTGAGCGTGAGTGGGTTGTGTGTGGTGTTCAGGAGAATGTCGGCCTTGGACACTGTTTCTACTCCATGGGGGATGAGGGACGATGAAAAGGGGAGCGCGGCTACTGGAAAAATGCTCGGTCTTTGCGTTAGCCTGACCCCCACTGGCGGCCGCAATTCTGCACCCTTAACCACTAGGGCAAGGGGCAAAGTGCAATACCCCCTTCAGCGTGAGAGTAGCTATGCTGGCAGGGTCCCCCTCTGTAGCAGGAGGCAGGTAGTGAACGGCAAAATATTTTGAGGGAAGAATATAGTGTAGTTCGACTTAAACCACCAGTGCTTCCTAAAAAGTCGTCCCCCTTAACGAGCCACGATTTAGGAAATGTACGGGTGACTACTGGAGTGCCCAAATTCATCCGACTGGAAACGTTTCTCCTCTATTTTTTTGCGCGGCTGGTAGCTGGGCCAAGTACTTGTGGTTTAAGGCAAAACTGGAAAGTGTAAAATAGCTGTTCCGGACATCGGTTAGATTTGGGGAGCATGGCGCCTGCACAAGGATGACACACATAACTTGAGAAAATACTAAAATAATTCTGAAAAAAAACTAAAATAGTTCTGGAAAAAAAAACAAAAATAGTTAAAAACGTTGACTTAATCCGTCTGCCGGTCCGAGCCTATATTTTGCAACGAGGATTTTGCCCCTGCCAATTCGATGCTATTTGCTTGATGGCAGCAGCGGCATGCTATTTGCTCGATGGCGGCAGTGGCATGCTATTTGCTCGATGGCGGCAGTGGCATGCTATTTGCTCGATGGCGGCCAAGCCTTTTGTTGGGACCGGAAGGTCCGGCCTAGAAAAGTTTGCGGCGGCGAGACGGCCACGTCGGAGCAAAACAGTTGCGGAACAGGGTGCTGGCTTAAACCACCAGTCGATCCAAAGCGAAGTTGACGATGAAAAAAATGCAGTTTGTCCAACTTCGGCGAGCCTGAAATCTTTTTTTTTTTTTTTTTTTTTTTTTTTTTTGGCCAAACCTTAAACGACCAGTACTTGGCCCAGCTATCAGCCGCGGGCGATTCCCATTAACGCGCTGGTAGTTGCACGCTTCGGGGCACCGAAGCGCAATGGCTGGAAGCGCCAGCCAAAATGAAAACGAAACGGTGCCCCGGCGGCTCGGCAAAACTTGGCCTTGGCGCGCAGGGGGTATCCCGGCTCGGCATCAATTTCCCACCGAACCCCCACCGCTCCTGGGCACTGTAGATCTTGGCCCCGGTACTCGTATACGAGCAAACTCTATGGTGCCGCCTGTGGATGGACAGGTGGTTTGACACTTCTCCACAGACGAGCTTTGCGAGTCAATTGTTTTTTGCATTGCGGGGATAGATACCAGGGAGAGGGTTGGGAGAGGTGGTGGGGGCAGATGTGGAGAATGGGGTGTTCATGGCGGGAGAGGGTTAAGGGCGGTGAGGCAGGGACGACAGCCAGGTCTCCGTGAGCTGGAGGTGAACTAGCGGCCAGGCCGACTGGCGCAGTCTTCCTTCATGCTAACAAACCTGTAATGTAACTGCAAATGCAGTCAGGTGCATCCTTTCATAGCATGCCGGCACGAAGCATAGCCCCCCAGTGGCGACTGCCCCTCTTCTGCGAAAACACACTCGACCGGCTTGCTATGAAAGGATGCACCTGACCGCATTTGCAGTTACAGTACTGGTTTGTTAGCATGAAGGAACACTGCGCCAGTCGGCAATTCAGGCACACAGAACGCCTCTTAGAACCTCCGCCTGGCTTGCCCAACCCCACCTCTCCCTGGCTTGGCCCCCCCCCCCCCCCCCCCCCCCCCCCCCCCCCCCCCCCCCCCCCCCCCCCCCCCCCCCCCTTTCCCTTCTGCCCCTCCTTCGCTTCCTCCCTCCCCCTCCCCCTCCCCTCCCTCTAGCGACAAACAAGATGTTGAAGCTTCCATGCTTCGTTCTTGGGCTGTAATCTCCCAAAGCGAACATGAGAGTCAAATCAAGCGCCTCTTAAAATTTCAAGGGCTATGGCAGAAGCTGGCTTTTTTTTGGGGGGGGAGGGGAGGGGGGAGCGTAAAAGTTGTGTGCGGGGCTTATCACCGGAGTTGGTATAAGCATGGCTACCTTTGCTACAAAGTCTGAAGAGGGGATTTGGCCTATTTGGGGGCTAGACCCCCCCACCTTGCTACATAGTCTGTGCCATTTGAGACACATGGGCCATCTACACGTGAGCATCGCGACTATCTATGCATTTAGTGAATCTGCTGTTCATGCTGCTTTTAATGATGATGATGATGATGATGATGATGATGATGTCGATGATGATGACGATGATGATAAAGATGAGAATCAAGACAAGATGACCAGTCCTATGGGGACATCCATTGAAAATGTGGAACGATACACAGAAGATTAGCATGACCCCTGTGTAAGAACGACACATAAATCGTCAAATGGTCCAAATTAAAGGGAAAAGAAAAGAATGAAGATGATGATGATGATGATGATGATGATAATGATGATGACATGCTGGTTTTTTATTTGGAGGACAGTATCTGAATAATCTGATCTGATCATCAAACATGTGACATCATCCCCATCTCACATCATCGACATCATAATTATGGTTATGACCTCACCAATGCCCTCATCATGGTCGCTATCATCGAATAGAAAGGGGGTTGTCTGTTTTGACCGGGGGAAAAAAAAAAAAAAAAAAAAAAAAAAACCATCGACAGTCAGATCACTTTGGTCTTATTGACCGGATCTAGCCGGTCATCATGACACCCTCGTCGTCATCGTCATCAACGGTCAGGTGAATGATGGCGGGCATCATACTTGTCATCACTATGATTGTCGTCATCACCATCGTCAGCATCACCACCGTGCCTGTGGCACACTGATCTTGCACTCTTCTCCTCACAGGTCCGTCCGGGGCCAGCCATGACCTACTCTCCAGCCGGTGTGGGAACCTTGTGTGGGTCGTTATAACAGCAACCCAGAGAACATCAATTCCATACAGGTTGTAGGAAGGTAGCCTTTGCTTTTTTCGCCTGAAGTCTCCGCACTTCGCTGATGCATTTGCTTGTTCTGCACCCAGATTATCTTATGTGTGTGTGAGAGAGAGAGAGAGAGAGAGCATTCCCCCCCATCACGACACACCTCGTAACAAATTTATAAAAGCTATCTTTATGGTTAGTTTAGCCAAGATGGGGGTGTGGTGTGTGTACGGGGGAAAGAAGGGAGTGCTGGGGCTGAGAGAGAGAGAGAGAGAGAGAGAGAGGGGTTTGCACACTTGGTTGTTTATCTGGGCGTATCTG